AATTAATTTCCACTATCAACAGACAAATTTTTACATCAACTAATTCTAACATCAAATCTAAAGAAAATGCAAAAGAATTTACGAGAGCCAGCAAATTAAATAGCGTGATTTTTCGATTTTTCCTACTACTATCAATAGATGAATCAGTTTTCCTTTCTACTGTAAATAGATGAGTACATCATGTTAGATAATAATATATCAGTGATTCATATACCTGTAAGGAATCAATTAATTACATAAACCAGCGATTTATAAGCCAAGTTTCGAATATGCGATATTTAAAGTAGAGCAAGTTCATTGGTTAACTTGATTTTATTACAGATTCTTGCACCACATCTTTCAATAGCGCAGAATAACATACCAGTATTGTGATTGTAGACCTTAGATTCTGATTTTGCTTGTAAATGAATCAATAAACTGATTAATTTGAGCTAGTAAATTATATAGCTAGATTTCCCCTACAAATTAATTATAAATTGATTACTGTTGACAATTTACAGATTTATATATTAGGTTAGAAAATGATGCCACAGAGTAAGCCACAGAGCAAGCTTTCTGGACTCTTATATTTCAGTTAAGTTGATCTGTGAACTACTTTCTTGAGTAATGGTAAATCCCACAAACGGCGATTCAGCTTTAGAAAGATACACCGTAAGTAAATGGGATTCATGACATCATTGCTCTTAGTTAGATCAATGATATTATTACGGGTTAATTGCTGAGTTACAGTGGACATAACTGGTATATAAGATACATCTTCATATGCGGAAGACTTCGTTACCTTCGATGTTTGCTTTGACAAGACCTTCTCAGCAAACGAGAGGTTGTCATTTATAATAGAATCCATAGCAGATTTATCCGCAGTATCGTCTATAACTCTAAAGGGTTGGCAAACCTCCTGTTCATCTTTTGTCAAACTCGGTTCTTGTCCCGTAATAATTTTGGCAATTCCTGTTTCAAAAGCAACACTATAAACACGCACTGAATCTGCGGCTAGGTAGAGGTCGAGTTGAGGGAATTGTCGGATCAAGGCGTCAAATAATTGTCGTAAAGTATTATGATCAATATCAGGCGAGTAGAATAATTTGTGGTAGACTGATTCAAATGCTGCTAAATCTTTCATCTTTTCCGTTAACTTAACATCGTCTTTAGGTGATGGCAGTAACTTGGCTAACTCAGGATCTTGAAGGTCTAAATAGGGCTTTAACTCGAAACAATGACTAATCATTTGAAAGGTGGATGACCATTGCATCGTCTTACTTAATATGACAGCCAAATTTCCAGTTCTTCGTAACGATGCCATCATCTTGGTATTGTTTAGTTTGTTCATAAAGACTAATAGACGGTTGTGACGGAGTATAGACTCCATCAATTAATTGTGGCATTAGCCTTGGTAAATAGTAATTAAGATTTTATTAATTGGCAACAACATTTATTTATTAACTATGGGGTAATTATAACATTATTAGTAGTCTAATTATACTTGTTGTAGACTCTGTGCAGAACAATGTGTTCACAGAAGTAATAAGTAATGTTCACACCATAGTAATCTCTGTTACTTTGTGCTAAACCTTTGGTTGTTAATTGGCTCTTAATTAGTTCATAACTCATTAGTGTTGTTTACGCCGTTTGTCATACTAAACCATATGGGCAAACGGCTATACAAAAGCTGTATGTTTTAGAGTTGTTTACCTAAGCTGTGCACCGAGTGCAATCGAGCTAGGGTATATAAAGCCCAGCTCTCTCACTAGCAGTTCAGTTGTCGGTTGACCGTTGGGTCAGAGTAGTCTTGGATGGCAAGACTACCTTCACTCAATAAAACTATTTTAAAAGTCTAAGACTAGTATATGCTTAGCCCGTTGGGGCATACTTGGCTGTTGTAGCTCTAGCATTCATACAACTTCGAAGGCCCAGGTCTCCCTGTCGTGGGCTGACTACGACAACGGTTAATTAAGGACTGTTCTTCACCTAGGTAGTGTTTAATAGCTAAGTTTAAACGGTAACATGCACAAGCAATTAACGGTTTACCGATACTTTCAGCAAGGGCTTTATTCTTCTCGCATGTTGCACCTACAAAATAGGAAATGCAACTGAAATCTTTGGAATAACGGTGCAGGATGGAACAGATTAAATTACGGAAGTTTTCTGTCGATAAGTCATGAACAATTGGATGTAATATATCTAATAGGTAGTAATGGAGTTGTGGATGTTTTTCTGGATTTTCTTGTTCTTGATTTTGCTGTGAATTGAAGGCATAAATTGCAATGTATTGACTAGAATCATCTACTTTATCATCTATTACAATGCCTAAGCGATCAGATAAATTTTGCGTCAAAATCTTTTCAACTTCATTTGCTAGTAGTGCAATGTATTTTATAATAATTGTTATGGAAACATCTTTTAACATTGTATTTTTTTTGGTCCATTTACTTTCTGATAGCCAAATTTCTCGATTTTCCATTACTATCCATTCAATCCACACAAAAGCATTATTAAGGAATTGATTGGAAATGGATTTTCGGTTATCTTTGGAAGTATAGTAGCCATAAACTGAAGCCATGACATCGCGCCAATCTACATGACTACGGTAAATATGATTGATTAAATTAGTGTAGCCATAACGAGTATTTTGCTTGCGAATTGTTCCGCAGCTACAACGATAGCGACGAACTGTGTTTTATCGCCATACA